CGTCAACATCAAGAGCCAACACCTGTGGGAGATAAAGCTACAAAGGCTCCAATCAGCTAAGATTCGCCAATACAAAGGCTTCACGTGGCAAGGAAAAAACAACCTAGTATCAATGAACTCTTGTAGGCATATGAACACCTAGGCCTACAGGATACGTGGTAGGCATAGGCAAATTTTTTTTATGACTTGTGTATGTTGCGTTGAAATGCCAAAGGAAGTGTAGTGACAGATGGTCAGTTAAATGGGTAACCGGTATTACTGAACTGTCCCAGTCCTAATGGGTGCCAGTCCTAATGGGTGCCAGTCCTAATGGGTGCCAGTCCTAATGGGTCCCAGTCATAATAGGTGACAGTCCTAATGGGTGCCAGTCATAATGGGTCCCAGTCATAATAGGTACCAGTCCTAATGGGTCCCAGTCATAATAGATACCAGTCATAAAGGGTCCCAGTCATAATAGATACCAGTCATAAAGGGTCCCAGTCATAATAGGTACCAGTCACAAAGGGTCCCAGTCATAATAGATACCAGTCATAAAGGGTCCCAGTCATAATAGATACCAGTCATAAAGGGTCCCAGTCATAATAGGTACCAGTCATAAAGGGTCCCAGTCATAATAGGTACCAGTCCTAATGGGTCCCAGTTATAATAGATACCAGTCATAAAGGGTCCCCAATTCAACTACTGCGGCTGGGGTCTAATCGCAATGCGAGGCCAAGGGGTAGCAATCTTAATGGGGTTCTATCCTAATTGACTCAAATCATAATGGTGTGGTTAAGTTAGGTTAGGTTAGGTTAGGTTAGGAGCACCAGAGGAGAAGCACACCGTCAGGAGACACAGGTAGAGTCGTGCCGGAACCCACTGGAAGCTTCAGGTGCCGTGTGTGTGTCAGAGGGACAAACACTGCACTGTTAGATCAGGTGTACCCGGGGAGACGTACACACACACACATGGGGAGGAGGGTGAGTGGTAGGGAGGAGAGGAGGGAGTGAAGGGGGTGCTGGTTGGGGAAGGAGAAAGGTAGGGTGAAAGGGGGTGGGGTGCTGGGAGGTGGTAGGGTAGAGGTGGAATGGCTCAACCAGGGCACTACCCCCCTACCACACACACACACACACACACACACACACACACACACACACACGAGAGAGTCAGGTCCGGACTATAGGTTATAAATTAACATACTTTCCTTTACTTCCTGTTTCTACAAGCTGACGTGAGACAGTAATGTATATCCCTGTACTGTTATCAACTGGAAATATCTGCACCTATACCTCCATTCACACCTGTAATTGGTATGGTGTATTTGTAGAGCTGTGGGCAGGGAGGGAGGGAGGGTGAGGGAGGGTGGGTGAGGGAGAGAGGGAGGGAGGGTACTGGGAGGTGGTGTAAGGGTAGCAGGGTACAGGTAGGTGAAGCCTCAGCAACGATACACAGAAGTGGCGATTAAATGCCTGCAATTTTCTTTCCACGACACAAATTAATATTTTTTTACAGTTTGATCATGAAGTACACCCAGCTTACACTCCCTCCCAGCCGTGTGTTCATAACTGTACTTCCGTCTATACCATTACATAAAAGTGTACCTGTACTTTCATCTGTACCTGTAGTTGCAAGTGTACCTTTATTTCTCTATCTGTACCGCTATTTGTATCAGGGATTTTAGTTTTATTTAAAGTAGTATAAGAACCTAACTCGATTACGCAGATCTAATTTGACAAGACGATTTCTAGCCGCAAAAAAAACAAAAAAACAAGACACTGTTTCCCATTGAAGAAAATCCCAACAGCATAATCCTCACCTAACAAAATCCCAACAGACGGTAACCACTGAACAAAATCCCAACAGACGGTAACCACTGAACAAAATCCCAACAGACGGTAACCACTGAACAAAATCCCACCAAAGTGATTCGCCCACTGGACAAAAAACAGAAAAGGCAAAAAGAGGAACAAGCTGGGAAAATATTCAGAACACGGGGAAAATAATTTACTTAGGTCACGTACTAGGTGTGTGTGTGTGTGTGTGTGTGTGTGTGTGTGTGTGTGTGTGTGTGTGTGTGTGTGTGGGGGGAGGATGTGTGAGGGTGTGTGTGTGGGGAGGAGGATGTGTGAGGGTGTGTGTGTGGGGGGGGAGGATGTGTGTGTGTGTGTGTGTGTGTGTGTGTGTGGGGGGGGAGGATGTGTGAGGGTGTGTGTGTGGGAGGGAGGATGTGTGAGGGTGTGTGTGTGGGAAGGAGGATGTGGGAAGGAGGATTTGGGAGGGAGGATGTGGGGAGGGAGGATGTGGGAAGGAGGATGTGGGAGGAAGGATGTGGGAGGGAAGATATATGAAGGTGAGTAAGGGAGTGTGTGTGAGAGTGGGTGTGTAATAATAATAATAAAGTGTGTGAGAGTGTGTGTGTGTGTGGGTGAGTGTGTGAGAGTGTGTGTGAGAGTGTGTGTGAGAGTGGGTGTGTAATAATAATAATAATAATAATAAAGTGTGTGAGAGTGTGTGTGAGAGTGTGTGTGTGTGTGTGTGGGTGAGTGTGTGTGTGAGAGTGTGTGTGTGTGTGTGGGTGAGTGTGTGAGAGTGTGTGTGAGAGTGTGTAAGGTTATAATGGTAGCTCCTGGAAGACCATGACACGCCTTTTCTTAATTGTTTTCATAATTTATTAGTTCCTTGTTTTAGTCCTGTTCAATTAATTAACTTTGATCCTCTTAAACCTTCTTACCTGTTCTTAAAATTCTCTAGATTCTCTTTTGTATTCCTCTTTTACCTGTCCAGTTAATTAGCATCGTCCGGTTTACTTTTTTTTACCTGTTGTATTAATTATCTTCGTCCTTTCCTATTCGTCTTTACCTCTTCTCTTCATTATCTAATCGTCTTCTAATCTAGTTCGTTTCTGCTGTTTCTTCTTACTCTCTCCTTCTCTTCAAATTATATGGAATCATTTTTGTTAAGATGTGGGCTTATTTCTAGCGTCTTAAGTCAGACCCACAATACGTTTTACTTGTTCAAGACTACGATATTTTTAACACCTTGACCGTTGACTTACGATAACTTGACCTTTTCGGCTGTGAAAAAATGACCCTATAAATAGCACAACTTGACCTCTTCAGTTCGATGACTTAACCCCTCGAGTACGGTAACTCTTGCAGTTTATATTCGACAGCCTTAACCCCTTTGTAACATAACTTAACTTCCTTGAGTACGATAAAAACTCCTTAAATACGACAGCTTTTATCCCTGAGCTGAAATTGTTTAACAGATCAAGTTTTTTTTAGACCTTCACCACTAAAATAACGTAGGACAGAAAAAAAATTAACCCGTGTGATTTTCTGGATCAATATGCAAATGTGTTGAACACTCATACCCCAGCCAGAGATGACAGCTCGTGTTTGGTCCTAAAATACTCACCTGGATTCTTAACCTGTGAATGTCACGCATAGGGACTCTTGGACCATAAAGTCGTTAACCCCAGGAGCACGTTAGGTTGTTTTACATGTCTCTGACGCCCGTGAAACTGATCCTTAACAGCAGATGGTCGGGTGTGCTGCTGTGACAGTGGCCCCACGACCATTGTTATGCTACAAGGATGTGTTTAGGGATAAAGGTAGCTGGGCAGGTGGGTGTTGTTACCGGTTTACTACCGGGTATCCAGCACACACACACTAATGATAGAACACTATACCATACTGCGTGTAATTCACCCAATATAATGACCAAGTATCACGTCTTTTAATATTTACAAGACAACATCCACGGTGACTACCAAGATGATACACTTGTATATCCTGCTGGAGTGAGAGCCTTCAGTTGCCTTCTTGTCGTAGAGGAAAAGCGCGGGAAAAATTCGTGCTTTAGGCGGGAAATGTGAGGTATATGGCGGGCAGACTGGGGGAGAGGCGGGGCGGGGCGGGGTGGAGTGGGGCTGGGTGGGGAGGAGGGAAGGTGTCGGAGATCAGCCCCGAGGCCCCGCCCTGGGCACCAGGTATCGAGGTCATTTAACCTACCATTTGCGGGATCAGCACTGGCGGGGGGCGGAGCTCCTCTGTTTACCCAATATATTTGAAGGTCTTTGTCACATTGTTTGATTTTTTTAAGTCTTGGCTACGCTCACGTTCGCTCAGTAACAACATACACCCTGTCGCACGTACACATGCACATGTGCATAATCCTGAGTACACACTCTTAAAGTAAACTCACTTAATCACACACACACACACACACACACACACACACACACACACACACACGTCTTAAGTGAACCTTAAAAAGGGGCCCAAAACTCTTGACGTTGACGAGATACAACCAAAACGTTTACTCGTAGTAGCAGGTTTGTTTGATGGGGGGTCAACGCGTCTCTCCTGCACTGTGGGAGTAAGACAAGTGATCACCGCCACACATGGTATAACATCTACGGGGACTATAAGAGTCTGGCGTATCACTGGTCTTTGTACGAACAAAGTAAATTGTTCGTGCGTGAGTTGGTGAGTGCGTGAGCGTGCGTGTGTGCGTGAGTGTGTGCGCCGGCTGTGTTAGTGACCGAGTGACTAGTCTGGTGGAGGTGGGTCGGGGGAGGTGGGGGGAGCGGTGGGAGGCGGGGCGGGGTTAGTGGGTGGGGGAGGAGGAGCAACACGTCGTGCACGCTGCCTGGTACACTACGCACACCACCCACGCTTGAGCAAGGCAACATTTGCACTGTCCAGCTCTCGGTGAAAACTGACCCTTTTCAATTAATGACCTGAGAGGGACGGGTAGCGGGTCACCACAGCGAGGTCTCTTGACCGCAGTCAAGTAGCGGTGGTGTTGGCACTCGGCCAGCAACACGGAGGGACGCCAACTACTACAGTATTTTCCACCACTGTTACCTGGTGGGTGTTGGCAGGGTGACCTTTGAGCGGCAGGTGCAGCAGTATCACCAGCACCACAGACTCCCGCCGGAAATGTTGTGGACTTGGTGTTGAGCGTTGCACAAGTTACAGGTGCTTCCTGTCCTCGCCGCAACACTCTCACTGGAGACGCCGCGCCCAGCCGACCGGAGCGCCAGAGAAAACGGCGCGCGTCTCTCCGGCCGCGCCAGTCTGGCTGTAGCCGCCGACTGTGTTGGTAGTGACAGACACGCACAGCTCACCCGCACACTATTGGTGACTCGCACTCACACACTCCATTCTAACTCCTCAAGCGATAGTGACAAGAGGTTGACATCATAACTCCCGGGGCAGCGAGATACGCAACGTACAGCAGAAATTGCCAGCATTTTGAGCGGTCACCCAGCAATACCGCCGCCATGCAAAACCTCGACGCTACAGGCACGACGATAGTCATCACCATCCTCCTAGAGGGCACGTAACACCAACACCACTTCCCTCACTCACCCCCTCCAACACTCATCACCATCACCCACACTCTCCAAGTCTCCATCATCACATTCGCCTCTTCAACTTCTAGCTAAGGTCTCACCTGTGCAGCATCCACCTCTCTTACTCATCAAGCACTCCTGACACCTCATCTACAGTAAGCACAAGACTCCCCGAGACGACCACAGCATCAACTCTCACACTAAGTAATCCGTCTCGTGTGGACTTCAGCATTCATTTCAGTCAGACCGCAAGCAAGCAACGTCCAGACCCCACCACCTCCTCCACCATAACGCTAAGAGGCCGCTAAATATCCACCCTAACTTGAGCAAGAATCAGCCCCAGCAACAACCCCGGTGAATTCCTGGACCCACAAGCACCACACCTGGACCATCTTCGCATTATCCGCGGAGGCTCGGCGCGGCGCACCTGCAAGTAGCTGATCACTCGGGTGTGGGACCTTCAGTCGCCCTTCAGGATGTGCGGCGAAGTAGATGTCTGGAGGATCAAGACGGTGCTGGTGGGCCTCCTCGCCGTCACCGCTTCTGCAGGTAGGTCCTGATAATGACTGTGTGGTGACCAGATTATCAAAAAACTGATAGATGTTGCAATGTATCTGAAAGTTTTTGTTGTTGGTCCGTAAGTGCATGTGGGGAGACCTGGTGATGTTTTGATCTCCAGTATTTACAGCGATAGAGATTAAGCAAGCGAGGCGACAGAATATTAAGTGCTCATCAACGGGGAGAAAACTTTTATTTTTTTTTCTCATAATCCTTTGTGAGAAAATTGAATTGATCTTTTGTGAATAGTGGAAGAGTGAAGTAAGTTGCTGCGGGGGAAACACAGTGCTATTGTTTTGCCAAGACGGGGTGAATAAAGCCTCTGGTCTCGTGTAAACATTGTCGGGATAAAAGTTGCGGTAATCGGTAAACACCAGCGGGTTAAAACAGTGGTCTTTTGTAAGCACTGATGGGTTAAAGTCCTGGTGTTTTGTAAATATTGACCGGATTAAAGTTCTGATACTCAGTAAACACCAGCGGATTAATCTAATAATCATTGTAAATATCGATGTGTTAATGTTGGTCTTTCATAAACATCGGTTAATGTTGGTAGGTTAAAGTGTACGTGTGTGTGTGTGTGCGTGTGTGTGTGTGTGTGTGTGTGTGTGTGTGTGTGTGTTGTAACCTGTGAGTGACATCAGCAGCTGTGTGTTGTGTCAGCTCCTTAGTAACAGCAAGTAATATTTGTAAACACAGCCATCCAATACGCGCGCGCGCGCGCGCGTGTGTGTGTGTGTGTGTGTGTGTGTGGTGTGGTGTGTATGTGGTGTGTGTGTGTGTGTGTGTGTCTGTGTGTGTGTGTGTGTGTGTGTGTGTGTGTCTGTGTGTGTGTGTGTGTGTGTCTGTGTGTGTCTGTGTGGTGTGTGTGTCTGTGTGTGGTGTGTGTGTGTGTGTGTCTGTGTGTGTGTGTGTGTCTGTGTGTGTGTGGTGTCTGTGTGTGTGTGTGTGTGTGTGTGTGTGTGTGTGTGTGTGGTGTGTGTGTGTGTGTGTGTGTGTCTGTGTGTGTGTGTGTGTGTGTGTGTGTGTGTGTGTGTGTGTGTGTGTGTGTGTGTGTCTGTGTGTGTGTGTGTGGTGGTGTGTATGTGGTGTGTCTGTGTGTGTGTGTGTGTGTGTGTGTGTGTCTGTGTGTGTGTGTGGTGTCTGTGTGTGTGTGTGTGTGTGTGTGTGTGTGTGTGTGTGTGTGTGTGGTGTGGTGTGTATGTGGTGTGTCTGTGTGTGTGTGGTGTGGTGTGTATGTGGTGTGTCTGTGTGTGTGTGGTGTGTGTGTGTGTCTGTGTGTGTGTAACGAGAGACCTGGAAGAATAATCCATTGTGTACAGAAGAATGAACCAATTTTCCTCCTCCTCTTCTTTTTCATCTTTTTTTTTCTCTTCTGTTCCTGTTGCTCATCATCCTCATTCTTCTTCTTTTTCTTCCTCATTTTCTTCTACTTCTTGGGCTATTTGCATATGTTCCTATTCTTCTAATTAATCTTTTCTTCTCTTACTCCTCCTTCGTTTGTTCTGTCTCCTTATTCCTCTTATTATTCTTTTTGTTCTCCATATCTCTTCTTGCTCAATGTCGGGATGTTCTTCTATTCCACCAACATCACATTCCTCTTTTCCTCGTTCTTTGTATTCTTATCTTATTCTTTACGTTCACCATATCGTAAGACAATGAAGCCCCTCCCCCCCTCCCCCACACACACATGACCGGATCTCCTGCCGCCACTTGCTCCTGAAAGTGTTCACACGAAGGGGAGTAAACAGATCATATCATTGATGTTTACCTTCGTCAGGTGGGTCTTGGTATGTGACGTAATGTTTGGCCCACTCGCCTAGACCACACAACCTCCTCGCTCTCTTCTGTATGTGTGAGAGAGAGAGAGAGAGAGAGAGAGAGAGACGTGTAATATTGACTATTACTCATAATTAATCTACCTTTAATACGATAATACCTTGACAATATTAACCCGTATTTAATAGCTTATGAGATAAAATAATTACAAAACGCAAAAAAAAAATTAAAAAAAATCTTATGAACAACCACCTATTATTCTTGTCTTGTATTAAGTTAAAAAAAATAATATATTGTAGTTTTATAATATAGACTCTGGCAGCTTACAAAACCATAAGAAAAATTAGTCAAGTAAATAAATAAAAAAGGATTTATTTACGTACAATATATATTTTTTCTTCCCCCCCCAAAAAAAAATTAATTATTGGTAAACTTATACGCAGTTACACCATCAGATATTTTTTTATTGTCAATGTATAACAGTATAATCTCTGTCAGTTAGTAAATGACAAATAAATTTCTCCGTCAGTAAGCAGGTAAGTCAGTTGAGCAGGTGAGTCAGTTGAGCAGGTGAGTCAGTTGAGCAGGTGAGTCAGTTGAGCAGGTGAGTCAGTTGAGCAGGTGAGTCAGTTGAGCAGGTGAGTCAGTTGAGCAGGTGAGTCAGTAGCGCCACTATAAAATACACTTGGGCAACATCTTAAAAGTCTTTATAAGGTCAGCCAAGGTTGTACTTAGTTATGTAGTCAAGGTTTCACTTTTCGGCGCTAGGATACTTTTCGCAGATCACCTGAACATTAGCCCCCCTTAGTTTATGTCACCTGGTCTGATACAGCTAATTACCTAAACACTACCTTTGGGGGAGAGGTGGGGGTAGGTAGGCTAAGTTAGGTTAGTAAGTTGGGTTGGCTTTGAGTTAAGTTTAGCTAGATTAAGTTCAATTTAGGTTAGGTTTGGTTGGCATTAGGTTAGTTTTTTGGGGGGTTGGGTTAGGTTAGGTTGGCATTAGAGTGGTTAAACTTCAGACAAATTTATCTGACAGACGTAAACTTCAGGTGCTATATTCTACCTGATCCTCCCAATTAAACTTGAATTAGACAGAATTACAAACGGACAAACAGGTCAATTTAACAGACCACCACGCAGAAGGGGATTAAAAACACAGTAAATATGACAGATCAGTGAAAATACACCTCGCTTATGTCACCCATAGAATCACCCCCTAACGCTAACCCCTCCCCTCCCCCCCGTGGCCCAGGTAGCGTGAGGGTATTAAGCACCAGGTGAGATAAACTAAGAGTGTTTAATCTTCAGGTGATCCAACAACAGCTAGAGACGTGATACCATCCTATCACGTATGAAATAGATCTCGTCTGTGTATTTTGGCTGTGTGTTATATCATGTTACTCACCCAACAATGACCACCAGCCTAACATGATCTGACTGATGGAGTGTTTATTTTATTTCCACGTATATGTTAGTTAATGATGAAGTCTTAAGTCACCCTAAATGATTTATCTCTATAAGGAATTATGAACGTGATGTATTTTGTTTACGGTGTGTGTATGTGTCTGTGTGTGTGTGTGTGTGTGTGTGTGTGTGTGTGTGTGTGTCATCTTCAGTGTTCGTCAAGGCCAAGCTGGTCACGCTCCCTCCAGGCCTGTCCTGCCCTGTCCTGCCCTGCTCTTGTCCTTAGCCTGTCCTGCTCTGCCCTGCCCTGTCCTGTCCTGCTAAACGCTATCCTGCTGTCTAGACCCACTGTCCTAGTGACCTACCCTACCCCACCCTCCCTTACCCTACCATTGCCCACCACCACATTTATACCCTAACTCTTGCCCACCACCGAGCTTGCCCCCCCTGCCCACCTACCTACCCTGGCAACCACGATAACTGGTGACCTTGTTGAAGACTTGGTTGGTCATTGTTATCAGACAAGGAGTGTTCCCTGCATACTCATCATACTTAGCATGTTTCTCTTTTGTATACTTTATCATGCTCGAATATACTTATCATCCTTTATACGTGTGATAAATTCAAGTATACTTATACCTCTAATATGTTAAAGAGTTGTATGTGTTTGTGTATATTAATTACCCTTTGGATATGTGAGGAATCTGAGTATATCAATAATGGATGAGGGTCTTTAAGTATACCCATCATACCAGGCTAAGTGTGTGTGTGTATGGAGGGGACCTGAGTATAATTATCATACTTTGTACAGGTGAGAAACGAAGCACAACATACACATTATACTGGGTACTTTGTTTGTGTTCTACTACTACTACTACTACCGACACTTAATTCTCAAAATACAAAGTTCTCATCATTCTTGTGTTGTGTAAATGATCGTGTAAATTGTATAAAGTTTGTAAATGCGTTTGTAAGTGTTTTGTGATATAGTCTCTGTCTGTCTGTCTGTCTGGATGTTTTTCCTTGTATGCCAGTATGCAGGTCGGTGTGTTGCAGTCGCCGGATGCTGGTGGTGAAAGGGGGTGGTGAAAGGGGGGGGATAGTCCTCTCTGTACCTCACATAATACACCCGGAAGATAGCTATTATCTCTCTCTCTCTCCCTCTCTCTCTCTCTGCTGTTGCTATTTTCCTTATTTTTTCAATTTTTTATATGAAATGTAATTCTTTTTTTCCCCTTATTATATTTTTTTTTCGTTTTATGCCTCAAATGAACTTAAATTAGCAATGCATTAAATTGTTTTGTTACGTTTAAGTTCAAATCTACTATGAACTTTTTCCTGATTAAAATAAAATAAAAAATCAACTAACAACGCAATAAATCGTGAGACTAATAGAGAATCCAATACTATTATAATCCCCACTAGGGTCTATAGCATGTAATTATTAGCCTCTGTAAAGGTTTCTATCCTATTAACATCACAATAACACGTATTTTCTGCCTTTAATGACACGATTCAGTCTTTCTTACAATAGTCGTCATAGGGAAAAGTAATTACTTAATACTAAATATAACCTAATTATAGAGAACTCGATCCTATTAAAACCTCTTATCATACTCAATGTCATTTTACACCCATTAAAGAATGCTATAATCCCAAGTGGGCTTCTAACTAAATTATATTGCTATCAGTCTATAACATTCTGATTATAATACAAATAATCGTAACGTAAATAGAATTTAATACCCCAAGGACCATTACTATTCACCACAATAGCTCCAATAACGACACCAAAAACAAAGGCGTATAATTAAATCTGATGAGGAAGATCTAAATTAACTTTTAATATGATCGAAAAAAATGGAAATTGCGATTTAATGTAGAAAAATGTCAAGTTCTGAGGCTAGGGAATGGAAGCAGCTGTCAGGTAAACAATGAAGAGAGAGAAATACGATTGTGGGAAATATTTAGGTGGATTGTTAAGTTGAGACGTAAAACCTAGACAACAATGCATGTGTTAAAAAAAATTCCGATAAAGCACTAAGGTTCAAAGCGAGTGTTAGTAATCCATCACATAATCCATCACAGTAAACAGATACCGCTTAATTCGATACCATAATCCATACCTGGTAAAGGACAACAATAAAATCATCATCGGCCACTTGATAAATCCTGGTTGGTAAGGGATTCGATACCACAAAGAGATTCAATACTATTGATCCCCCCCCCCCTAACACACGTACGACATAACCCATACATAAAATAGCAGTCGCCCGCCATCTACTTCACGTTAAATCCTGGTTAAGTCCTTGGCCTCCCTATACTAGAGAGGAGGAAAACTCAACCCAAAATTCAGCACACGGCCTTCAGAGAACCAGGAACAGATCAGTACAGTAGTTTGAAGGAGAGGAGGTGTAGGTTCTTGTATGGGTGACGAGCCTGTACCATTGTCTTACCGGGGTGGGGGAGTTTTTGTTTGTTTTTTGTCTCACGTTGTCTATCTTTTTCTTCTTTCTTGACCACCCCCTCTCTCTCTCTTTTCTTTTCTTTCTTGTTTTGTCTGTCAATATGTGTGTGTGTGTATGCATTAATAAGCTCACACACACAAGGTCACTGTAAACCCCAAATAAAGCTCTGCGACTCTGATAAGGACCTGAGGCTGACATGTTGGCGACCCTGAAGCGCTCACTTGTTGATAACTGCTTTTATATAGGAGGGGCGGGGGTGTAGGGAAGGAGGGGAGAGAGGAGGTATTTGTAGGGAAGTAGGGAGACTGAAGAGTGGGGAGGGGGAGGGTTGAGGGGGGGAGTGTACCAAGGTCGGGTTAAGGGTTGCTAAGGGTACGGCTACGGGAGGGTGGTAAAGGGGAGGGAGGGAAGAGGAAGAAGTGGAGGTGGCTGGTGAAGTGGAAAGGAGGGCACAGGGGTAAGGGGAGGGAGGAGGGAGTTGTGGTTTGGGTGGGAAGAGAGAGGAGGAGGGAGGGAAGGGGTGGGAGGAAAGAATGAAAGGAGATGGGATGGGTGGGTGGGAGGGTTTAGTTGTACCTGTGGTCTAATGATATTGACCTTCGCCATACCTTTCCGGGCCGACCTTTCTCTTTCTACTTTCACTTTCTCAATGTGAATGTCGGCTTTCTTTTTTTTCTCTTTTTTTTAGGCGCCTGGACGGTATGTGTGTGTGTACTTTGTTTCCTGTCAGGGCAAAGTGGTGGCTCTATATCATTGTCCTCTTGGAATTCGTCCCCATTTATTTGTGAACGTTTCTTTCTTCAATTATCTTCTGTTTTGCTTTAGGTGTTAAGGGCGACATAGCTATTAATTTATTATATTTATTTGAGCCCTTTATAGTATATCCATCTACACGTTTATTTGTACATATCTATTTTAATTTACCAGTTTACACATTTATAGATATGTTGGGATAAATACGATATATATGAGTTAATACATACGGTATACTACGGGTATTAAGTACGGGTTTTAATAATAATAATAAACCTTAAAAACTATTACTACAAGTTATCACGTCATTAAACAATTACGTCACAGTAAGGTTAGATTAGGTTAACTTAGCTGAGGTTAGGTTAGGTTAACGTTAGGGTGTCTAATCCTCAGGTGTTCCCATATCCACCACATCACAACGTTCATTATATACCGACTGTAACCATCTTCTGTTGTTAATGGCAACTACGTCCATTTTTACTTGACCTGACCTCAAATTAACTTGACTTGACCAGATACAAAACAGGTATCCCATTTGACCTGGTATTTTGGGAGATAGTCAGTCTAATGTCCTCGTTATGGGTGACTTGTTTACACCCAACTCTAACAACTCATTTACCTCCCTAATCACCATTTAAAGCTTCCTATCGAGTTAATGATATTTGTAGTGTTTATTTAACCATTTAAATTACGCTGTTAATGTTCTGAGCAAGTCACCACACAGCTATTATTGACCATCCCCCAAATTATCAGGATCATTATTTTCGTGAGCTTTAAATGTTTAAGGTCAACCCTGTGATAACTTTAGCGATTAAAACACAGCGAACAATTAAACACGACCAATACCGACAAAAAAAAACAATTAAAAATATAAACAAAAGCAATAAAATAGGTCAACTTTACACTAAAATCTTTTATGTCTCAGAATTAGTAAACAAAAAGGTGTTTCTCCACAACCACCTTTAATTAGACTCAGGTAAGACGACCCGCAGGAACAGGTGATCTTTTTTTTACTTATTCTTCACTTCCTTTAAATCAAAATTGGTAAAAAGTTACGAGTTAATATTTAATGTGAGTGGTCATGGACAAGTGCATGTAGGTTAACTGGCTATAACATTCACTCCAACCTTAAGTGTACATGCAGATACTCGTATACATACACATACTCGTAGATACACATACTCGTAGATACACATACTCGTAGATACACATACTCGTAAATATACACATACAGTACTCGTAAACACACATACGTACCCGTAAATATAGACATACTAGTAAACACGTACCCTTATACATACACAATACACATACAACACATACAAAATACATCAGTATTTTATCACTTTACCATTGTATAAAAAGATTAAGCTAAATTTATTACGAAAAAAGGAAAAAAAATAATATAAAACTCTTATATTTTCGATTTTTTAACAGTTTATGAAGGCGACCAATCGGTGCCTCCCCGTGTTATTGGCGAGAAATTAATTAAATTTTAAAATACATTAATGTAATTGCTTAACAATACTCTATAGATGCTTATACCTATACTCTACATTTTTGTTCAAATTTAATACAGGTGTTCACAGGTAAATTATTACACTTCCACGTCAACATGTTTATAAACAAGAGTGAACAGAAAACGGGATCTTGAGGGTAAAAAGAAAACGATATTTTAAAGGGTTGACTCATCCTCGACCTGGAAAGTTAATTAAGCTGGGGAATTTTCGCTTTTCACGTGTAGGAAGTAGAAGCAGTAGCGGTTCTCCTTGATCCAGTCTCGCCATACCACCTCGTGACGGACAAGTCAGCTCAGTTGAGGAAGATGACGAGAGACGTATAATATGAGACCATTTTAAATTTTTAATTGTAAGGGAATATGCAATTGACAGACGGGGGGGTAATTTACTGTAGACAAAAATTACTGCGAATAAGTATGTTATTCATTGTCGACAAAATGTGTTGATATATTAGTTAATTCACTGCAGAAAATAAATGTTTATATATCGTGTTACTTAGTTCACTATAAAGAAAGCTTTTGTTTGTTATATCAGGTTTAGTCTCATCATTTATATTTCTAAAACCAAAAACATTAATGTCACTGTGAGGTGGCAACCCTCATGACCGCGCCAGGACCTGAGTTTCATATAATTATTATCTCCCTCCTTGTGATACGCTCTCTTTATATCGTCAACTGATTGAATCTGTTTGTTTACATCGTCAGTTGATTGAATCCCTTCGTATCAACAGATGACTGGAAGGAAGACCTGAGCAACAAACTAAGCATCGGGGTGCGTGACGGCGGGTACTCGCGGGCCGTCTTGGACTGTGAGGATGACCACATGGCCTTCGTCATCGCCTTAGAGGAGGACTTCGAGGGTGTGGTGTACACAAGGGGCAGCTTCCACACCCGCCGCGGGCCCTGCTTCCTCGACGCTACCGGTGGCAAGGAGTTCGCCCTCAAGTTCGGCTACAAGGACTGCTCGACTAAATATGTAAGTTATGGAGGAATTTTGAGAGAGAGAGAATCTGTCTGTCTGTCTATCTATGTATTCATTCATATATCAACCTATCTATCTATTTATATATCAATCAATTTACCTATCTAATTACCTATGTAACCCTCGTCACCCCCAACAGGACGACGAGATAGGTGCTCACGTCAACACAGTGGTTGTACAACACGACGATGACCTGATCTTCCCGGGAGACCTCGCCTTTGCCCTCAGATGTCATGACCGCATCACTGTCAACGCCACCGTGGCCGGGTAAGATGGCGCTACTGTGTCGTGCGTACAACAGGTGTACAAAGTAATACAACAAATAGTGTAAGATACAGTAATGAGACATATGAGGGCACTAGTTAAGAGACACATATAAGCTAGAGTAGTTACGGGATACATACATCACTAGTAACACACACTGACGCTGTGGTTTCTCTCCACAGGATCAAGTCGAAGATCTCCCTGGTTGACCCTGACCCAGGCTCCAAGTTGAACTCCAAGAACGAGGTGGTGGCGACCTCATCCTCGAGCGTAGTCACCCTCACGCCCGGCCGCCTCACCCCGCCCAAGGAAGAACTATAACCCAGGGGAGGGCGGCACAACCCCCTTCCCCCCACCACACTACTGCTGGTGGCGGTGTTGCTCCTTCGTTCGTCCTCTGGCTGTCCCTCGCGGAGTCACTGGTCACCTTGGCCTCTAGCTTAACAGGTCAAAAGTCATTTTAGACAGCCGTACACGAAGTCAAAGGTCGTCTCAAGACTAGTGTATAGAGTCAGAGGTCACACACGACTGCAGTATGCTAGGTCAAAGGTCACGTTCATCCACAATATATGAGATGTGACGTCACCTCAGGCTGACGTATATGAGCTCGATGATCCCCGTAAATCGCTGTATACGAGGTCAGGAGTCACCTCAGACCGCAGAAGAAGAAGGTCAGAAGTTATCTCAGACTACAGTATACGAGGTCAAGACCCATTTTGGTCAATAGCCTGCGAGGTCAGAGTTCACAACAGATAGCAGTAAACTCTAGATAATGACTAAGTAAAATTAGCTGGATCAGACAACACCACGGACGTGTGAGAGACAGACCCTCCTTGATCAGCTGATCACCAGAGACAACCATGGATTGGCCAGTCAGGCGGCGAGGTTCTATCTGACTGGGAGTCAATATTTATGCTCTTCAGACGTGATAGTCTTTTTGTTTTAATTAATGAAGACAGGCAGGGCAGTGTTACCTGGTGTTGGCGGGGCAGTGTTACCTGGTGTTGGCGGGGTAGTGTTACCTAGTGTTGCCTCATGTTGGCAGGGTAGTGTTACCTCCTACTGGCAGGACATCGCTATTGCAGTGTTGGAAGACGGAGTTCGACAACTTGATCTCATAGTAGGTAGAGAGAGAGACATGGATAAAACTTATACCCGTCCTCAAAAAAGAGTACCACTGCAGGCAGAAGACGAGCGAACGTTCGTCTGGTGGAGGTGAACGCATAATAAGGGAAGCCGCCCTGTATCCTGCAGGTGTTGTGTGAAGGACCAATCACGTCACAGAACAAGCCAACTCTCACCAATCACAATCCAACTTTTTATTTTCCTCCAGGTAACTACACAAATAATTATCACATGGCTTATGCAAGGAAGAAGAATTAAAATTAGTTTGGATTAGTTTAATTTAGCTTAGGTTAGAAATAACAGCTGTGTGCAAGAGGTAAAAAAGCTGGTCTGTTATTGGTGGATGAGATGCCAGTTACTGAGGAAAGGAAACTGGGATGTTGTCCTGTGATAGGTGGATATGTTACGAGCAACTTGCAAGATCCTATCTGTGATTGGCTGTTCGCTATCAGGTGTGGCCCCTCATCACACACACACCTGTAGACCGGGTGGGCAAGTGGACTGGCATTAGCTTGTTGGCGCATTACACACTCGCTTGTTTCCCCATTTCACTATCGTCGTCAGTACTGCCAGATGTGCCTCTTTGTTTTGGGACAATATTTTTCAACTTATTTTTGTATTATTATGTTCGCCAGTGTGAATATTTTTCTCATAATTCACTGTGGAAATTAACGTAACATTCTCTATGCTCTAAGAATATATTTTGTTACGCTTGGTCGCTGTTGCCTGCTGTTAAACACGACTGTCAGAGATTCAAGTCTTCATCACTATAACTCTGATCACTCGGCTACACTAAAGAGTAAACAAAATCAATACAAACATTTCTGTAAACAAGAAACAATATATATTCAACTACTATGACTATTTTGTATTAGTTATTTTTTTTTATAATAGCCAAATTAGTATTATAATTAAGCTGATGTAGACTTGAGTTAGGTTCCTTGTTGATGCTGTAGAATGACTGCCACGTGTCATACTACATAAGCCTTGGTGGACATCATTCCAGGCTAGTGGATCATATATAGTGAAAGGCATTATGAAACTGATGAAATAAAAAGGACACTTACATCCACCAGACACTCATACTACCCGCCTGTGATCCCTTACTGCTCTTCATGTTGTGGATTTAATGGTATGCTTGTTGTCTTAAACCCGTAAAGTGACTCCTTCCCAAAGAGCGACCCATAAGTGCCTCAAGATTTCCCATGAGTGCCTTACAGTGAAGTCAGTAATTTATGTCGGCAATAAGGAACAAGCTCTCGGTAAAACATTAAATATCACTCGTGTTGTTTTCGTTACACAGAGCTGAGTGGCCGACACCTAAGAGACGGTACAGACAGAAGAACGGATTAATAGTTTACACAAGGTTGACAGAATCGTGATATGGTGCCTTAATCTGAATATAACCAACATACTCTACAGACAGTGAGACAAGCCCATCTCACTGTCTGTGTTTAGAGACTTACTGTATATATGAAGGTTTGTCTTATACTGCTGCGTCTGCTTCTGTCCCTACCCCAGCAGCTCTGACTGTCACACACACACTTCCCCCTTTAACTCAGTTGTTCCCCCACACTATCTTTATTAGGTCCTCCTCCACACAGCTGTCTCGACTCCAAACTTGTTTTTGTAATGTAGGTTAGTGTATGTATTCTCTTTTGTTTTGTTATGTGCGTACACGTCTACATATATTTTTGTTATGTGTAGCTAAGATCTCTAATTATTTCTAACACTTACATCTGAAGGTTAAAAATTTATCTCTTAAAATCTCTGAATTACTCTGTTCTCGGTATATTTCTGTACTAAAACGCGACTGATGACAATTTAATGCTTAGTTATGTGTATCTAACTTCAGCTTTGATCGCGCGTGTCTGTTTAATTACAGTTTTGCTTTGTATATATATATCATTGTCTCTATGTGCAGCTGTACGGTTTGCATTTTTCCTTTGTGCATTTGTTTCCTGCTGTTGCATTATATACGTCCGCCTCCTCGCACTACTATTCCTTGTCTAGTAATTTTCCAACATCTACGCGGTGTTTACAAAGTCCCTTGGTGTTTATATTAAAAGTCCAATGAGAAAGCAACACACCAAAACATCGATATGTGAGTTTTAGATCTGACGGTGCAGTTGATGTAATGTTATCTTTAATCCCTCGTGCATGGTCGAGTTACGGCGGAGATGGTGAAGTACGGCTGTGTGGAGGAGATGGTGGAGTACGGCTGTGTGGAGGAGATGGTGGAGTACGGCTGTGTGGAGGAGATGGTGGAGTACGGCTGTGTGGAGGAGGTGAGTACGGCTGTGTGGAGGAGATGGTGGAGTACGGCTGTGTGGAGGAGATGGTGGAGTACGGCTGTGTGGAGGAGGTGAAGTACGGCTGTGTGGAGATGGTGAAGTACGGCTGTGTGGAGGAGATGGTGGAGTACGGCTGTGTGGAGGAGATGGTGGAGTACGGCTGTGTGGAGGAGATGGTGGAGTACGGCTGTGTGGAGGAGGTGAAGTACGGCTGTGTGGAGGAGATGGTGAAGTACATACTGTAGTTTTGGGTGTGACGTCCTCAATACAACAAACACAAGGGAATTTGTAAAAAAAAAAGTAAACCGCACATACTGAATGAACATTTGTCTGCAGTTTTATGTTGCAATGTTCGTCTGATCATCTTGCCTAAGTGCATCTTTGTGCAGACGTATATCACTTTGAGAAGTAATAAACCATGCAATTCTTTCCTACGCCATACTGTCTGCTCTTTACATCCTGACACATGGATCAAACTCTTTACAGTTGTAATATCTTATGGGTCTCTGACTGGTGTGCGTTCTGATTGGTACGTGTACCTGATTGATGTGTGTGTTGTGAAGTAATAGGAACTGCACCCAGACAGTCGCTTGAGAATTGCTACAAACGTTTCCGGAAAACATCTCTATCCATGTTGTGCCGTTCATTCATTGAACTAAAATTTTAGAGTAGGTTTTTTTGTAATTTTCCAATAAAATGAAAAAAAAATGGAGTTACTTATTATCCCTCACATCGAGAGAGATCCCAATAAACTCATTATATTATTTTCATACATTTTTGTGACAGCAGCTGCACGAACATAACCTAATTAAATTCTTCTAAGACAGGGTTGATTTGACTGGTTCATGGCATATGATCAGAAAGAAGAGAATAGTTCCCCCATAAATTTCTGATACGAGAGAAAACGGAAGTAACTACAAGGGTAACTTAAAAAGGTTTTCATAGGTACTAATAAGGATTTAATAAAACCTATCAAGTGTATGCACAGAGACCCATTACCTCCGATATATTAGTGTTATCTGCACCTGCTCTCATTCTCTTAAGAACTAAACACATTAAAATCGTTGCAGTGGACCCATCTGAGGCCATACTTTAAACCAAACCCTTTTCACATTCGGTCTCTGATAATAGTCGGTGCCTAACACCCACGAAGGCCTGGCGCTGAAAACATTAACATTCCTGAACCATAAAAAACGATCATCCACACAGAATACCTCCCCCCTGCCCCCACCCCCCCTTAAAAAACCAATTACCATTATTTGAGCTTAAAATAAACCTAAAAAAAAGAGACGATAATAGGGAAACATAATATAATAAAATGAGAGATAATTGCATATTTTATTTGAGAGTTAATGACTATAACACATAAACAGACCCAGCAAGAATGATTAAATAATGAAATCCCATAACACTCATATATCATTCAATGTGTAAATCAAATATAACGTTCTTTTTACTTTACTAGAAGATAATATATTTTCAAACTCACACAATATAGTTATAGGAAGATTGTATTGTTATATATTTTTCTTTAAATAGATTGGTGAGGTGGTTATAATAATAATAATAATAATAATAATAATAATAATAATAATAATAATATCCTCGAACAACTAAAAGATTCAATACTATTTCCAAGTTTTTATTATTATACTGAATAATTTATTTTCTAATAAACTAACACTGTGGCCTCTGTTGATCCACCGTTTTACCGTTTCTGTTGTTGATCTTGTTTACTTTATGTTCCTGTTGTTGATCTTGTTTACATTCGGCTGTTGACCTACACCATTCTACTGCTAATGCTGCTGGTCTTTTTTTTCTGTTGTTTACATTGCTAATCCATCAGTCTGTTGTGTCTGCCGTTGTGGTGAGTACTGTTGTGCCGTTGTCAGCTTCAGTGATGATTGTGTTGCCTGTTGTAGTGTCATTATCCTCACACAGCTCATCATCAGCTTCCTTCACCACCAGATCCTCTGTAGAGTGAGTGTATGGTTGAATTTATTTTGTTTATATCTGTAGAGTGAGTGTATGGTTGAGTTTATTTTGTTTACATCTGTAGAGTGAGTGTATGGTTGAGTTTATTTTGTTTATATCTGTAGAGTGAGTGTATGGTTGAGTTTATTTTGTTTATATCTGTAGAGTGAGTGTATGGTTGAGTTTATTTTGTTTACATCTGTAGAGTGAGTGTATGGTTGAGTTTATTTTGTTTATATCTGTAGAGTGAGTGTATGGTTGAGTTTATTTTGTTTATATCTGTAGAGTGAGTGTATGGTTGAGTTTATTTTGTTTATATCTGTAGAGTGAGTGTATGGTTGAGTTTATTTTGTTTATATCTGTAGAGTGAGTGTATGGTTGAGTTTATTTTGTTTACATCTGTAGAGTGAGTGTATGGTTGAGTTTATTTTGTTTACATCTGTAGAGTGAGTGTATGGTTGAGTTTATTTTGTTTATATCTGTAGAGTGAGTGTATGGTTGAATTTATTTTGTTTATATCTGTAGAGTGAGTGTATGGTTGAATTTATTTTGTTTATATCTGTAGAGTGAGTGTATGGTTGAATTTATTTTGTTTATATCTGTAGAGTGAGTGTATGGTTGAATTTATTTTGTTTATATCTGTAGAGTGAGTGTATGGTTGAATTTATTTTGTTTATATCTGTAGAGTGAGTGTATGGTTTAGTTTATTTTGTTTATATCTGTAGAGTGAGTGTATGGTTGAGTTTATTTTGTTTATATCTGTAGAGTGAGTGTATGGTTGAATTTATTTTGTTTACATCTGTAGAGTGAGTGTATGGTTGAATTTATTTTGTTTATATCTGTAGAGTGAGTGTATGGTTTAATTTATTTTGTTTACATCTGTAGAGTGAGTGTATGGTTGAATTTATTTTGTTTATATCTGTAGAGTGAGTGTGTGGTTTAATTTATTTTGTTTATATCTGTAGAGTGAGTGTATGGTTGAGTTTATTTTGTTTATATCTGTAGAGTGAGTGTATGGTTGAATTTATTTTGTTTACATCTGTAGAGTGAGTGTATGGTTGAATTTATTTTGTTTATATCTGTAGAGTGAGTGTATGGTTTAATTTATTTTGTTTATATCTGTAGAGTGAGTGTATGGTTTAATTTATTTTGTTTATATCTGTAGAGTGAGTGTGTGGTTTAATTTATTTTGTTTATATCTGTAGAGTGAGTGTATGGTTTAATTTATTTTGTTTATATCTGTAGAGTGAGTGTATGGTTTAATTTATTTTGTTTACATCTGTAGAGTGAGTGTATGGTTGAATTTATTTTGTTTATATCTGTAGAGTGAGTGTATGGTTTAATTTATTTTGTTTATATCTGTAGAGTGAGTGTATGGTTTAATTTATTTTGTTTATATCTGTAGAGTGAGTGTGTGGTTTAATTTATTTTGTTTATATCTGTAGAGTGAGTGTATGGTTTAATTTATTTTGTTTATATCTGTAGAGTGAGTGTATGGTTTAATTTATTTTGTTTACATCTGTAGAGTGAGATACTGTCAGGCGAATCTTCCAATCCAATAAATTTAAGGTTCCATCATAAAGAGCAATGAATTTCTAAAAAGTTGTGAATTTTAACTATACTGTTATTTTAGCCACACACACACACACACACACACACACACACACACACACACACACACTGTACTTGTACTGTACAAACAGGAGTTGTAAGTGAAGGCCCTGGAGGGTCCTCTAGTCTCACCTGATTTCCCCTGGGCACGATCTTGATTCTGGGCACAGATGAGGGCGTCACCATTGATGTACTTACAGCCATCAGAGCCACACACAGGGCGGAACACCCGGCTGATGGCACAATTTTCGATATTCCGGTAGCGGTCGTCCGTACTCACCATTCGATTACACTTGCAGCTGACGTAGCCTGTGGTGGGCGAAGGCATCAATATGGGTCTCATAGGCGGGACTACCTGTTTAGGGCAGTGTGGATACAGCCTTCGGTACACAAGAAGGCCTTCACCTCCTCCAACATGTACAGTTAGGCACCTATATACAGCTGGGTGGTGTGGGAATGCCCTGGAATCGAACTAGTAACCTTTAAGACAAGAGCTGAGTCCTTATATCCACTCCTACCACAAGAGCCCCAGTACAGGCAGGAGAATGAACGATAATCTGGTGTAGGTTTGGTCGAGTCATAAGAGGGAGGAGGAGAATGTAAGGTGGTGTTAAGTGCTTCTCGTGGGCCGAGGTTCACGGTATGGGACCAAACACCCCTTACACTTATCACTAAGTCAATATATCTTTACTGAGACATCAAGTTACCCCATACCGTCTGTACCACACTGAAGGAGGGGGAAAAAAGAGACAAAACTTCACTGAAGACGTTAGAAATCTCTATCTGTCAAACAGCCTACAGAAAAACTCCACATCCTTAGTAAATGTGCAACAGAGAGCGAGTAAGATGATTCTGGAACTATGTCATCTCAATTATCCAAGTAGACTGAGGGTCTTAGGTCTAACAACTCTTCAGACCGGACAAAATAGAGCAGATCTCAGACAAAATCAAGATATTAAAAGGGATGGAAAACGTGAACCCGGGCTATTTTTTTCATGATGTCACGCACCACCACCACCACCATGAGGGGACACAACTACAAGCTCACCAGGAGGGTGGTATACTTATGGAACAGTCTACGGGACCAAGCTGTCGAGTCGAGAAGAGCACTGGGCTTCAAGACGATCAAGAACAAGGGAGGGATACTGCACACCAATTGACCTTCTTCTCTCCGCATGATGACCTCTAATTAAGATGTACATTAGGCAAATAAGATAATAAGGTAAAATACCACCTGTAGACTAAACATCGTGTTATCACCTTATTCTGATTTTTATTAATAGTTATCTGCTATAAAATCCAAACCAAAGATCTACTGAAGAAATCTTAACAAAGGAAGGTGGATGACTGGTAGTTGTGGAGTGCTTAGAACGTGTGTGTGTGTGTGTGTGTGTGTGTGTGTGTGTGTGTGTGTGTGTGTCACCGTAAATGAGTCACTTATGGAGTTATAATTATTAAATCATTGCTATCACAACCCACAATTACTGTACTTAGTGTTATTATGAGTCAGTGTTATTACGAGTTAGTGTTATTATGAGTCAGTGTTATTACGAGTCAGTGATATTACTAATCAGTGTTATTATGAGTCAGTGTTATTACGAGTCAGTGTTATGAATCAGTGTTATACTCACCCAGCAGAAGCACCACCACCACCAACACCAGCGAAGACTTCTTCATTTTAGCGGCCTAGAACACAACGGTATGTTCAAATATAAATGAGAGAGAGAGAGAGAGAACACAACTTTAATTGTATCTCCCTTATAGACAATTTACACAAGAAATATAGAGGAAGAACTGGACTTTAAAAAAATATCATAGTCTCCCAAATTGTTAAGTTTTCTTCTTTATCTCTTATAGAAAATAAATATTAAGATATTATGGCTAACTATTTTAAAATGTATCGGTGTGTTTACTCATTTCCCGCTGTCCAAGTATTTAGAGGACGAGGATACGAAGCAATGACGGTGTTGGGATAATATGTGGTTTTGTTGTGCCACAAGTGTTCCCTAAACATGAACTGTATATCCGATAATTGCATGCACACACACGCGCACACACACGCGCACACAACTGTATATTTTCAGCCTTCCGACTACCATCTCTTTCAATAAACCGTTAATAATAATAATAATAATTATTATTATTATTATTACAATGAAAAATGAAACCTAATCGTCCCTTGCACCTTCATGTATTCAGACAACAGTAAACAAGACCTCACTCGACCAGACAGATGCCACATGAAGGTCACATCCCAGCCTTACCACTAAACACTGTAACACATCTATCTTATACTGTACATGCCGGTGCTAATGTTCATATTTTGTTAACTCTACAATAACACCGAATTCAATTAAGTTCCTGTCACTAATGAATGGTATGGCAATATACAGTAAGCCTTATGATAGACTTTAGTGGACATATAATGCCTTCAAGTCTTATCCACAATAGATCCTATATTTATGTTGTGTTATTATTTAGTGTACACGTTTCCATGTACAAATGTTAAAAATATAAACACGCATCTAAGTACGTTTACTCATGAAATAAACTGCCAATACGAACTTTTCAAATATTACTGGCAGGAGTTACTACGCAATTCCACATGTTGGTGACACTTGTGGGCCAACAGATGCACCGAGAGGTCTCTTTGAAGAATTGACAGATCAGGTGTTACGCATTAAAGCAGGTGTCCGGGGAGGTGGGAATGAGTCGAGGCATAATATTGGATAAGTTCTCTCTCTCTCTCTCTCTCTCTCTCTCTCTCTCTCTCTCTCTCTCTCACACACACACACACAGACAGACACACACACACACCCTGCTACTCAGCCACACCGACACTCCCGTCACCACACGTATGGAAAGCTACGTGACGTCACTCTCACACCTGTTTCACCGGCGACCAATCAGATATCACCTTACAAGACATGTGTACTCTTCTACCGACCAGTCAGATGTCACCTTACAATACACATGTGCTTTACTTATGACCAATCCATATGACTGCCTGACAAAACGCGTGTGTTTCCCCAATGACCAATCAGATACCGCTTTACTTGACGTACATGTTCCTCTGGCGACCAATCAAAACTGCCATACTACATTACATGCTCTGTAATATGTTAAATGCATTAACTTTACAGCAATAAATAATTCAATTGTTTCAGTGTCAACCATATTCTTCTTCATAAGACAGTGTAAATATATCAAATCTTGCGTCGAGTTTTGAACATTGATGTTATTGTATTTCACTTTATGTTTTAGGTGAGGTGATAACACGAGGTGTTTCTAGGTTAACTGCGTCAGTAAATGTAAGAGTGTACCATCGTACGATATGTTTTCCCATGTTGAGTGGGGGGGCTTGTCCTTGGCAGCGCCTGATGGCCAGTGCCCAGCTGACGCTGTTATAATAAAGTCTATAGAAAACATGGTCTATGACTCCAACCTCTCACATGGCGCACAGTGAGTAGGATATGTCGGGGCCCGACACGCCATTACAGCCCTGACAAGAACGCTGACATGGCCCCTACACGTCCACGATTCTCGACGCCCTCAAGGGGACGCCAGGGCTTCTCTACACCGGCCGGGAACACCACGCGCGCCCAGCAGCAGGCCATGAGTGCATTGATGGCTCAGATGGCGTCTCTAGGTGCTGGCGGTGGTCATGCTTCTATGCCGGTCATGAAGCCCTCAGCAGCTGTCGCTCCAGAGAAGTGTGAGGCAGAAATGCCAGCAGCTGCGTTTAGGACATGGAGGCGGTCCATGGAGTCATGGGTGCTGCTGAACGGGTGGCCACAGCTGGTGGCCACACTCCACATTCGCCTGAACTGCGTCCCCGCACTCCAAAGAGTGATTGACTCGAGATACCCCAGCGGTCAGTGGGAGCAGCTCTCGCCCAAAGAAGCCCTGGACGCCATCAGTGGAATGGTTCTTCAATCTTCAAACCAAGCTGTGAAATGGAACGAGTTTTTCAACAGCAAACAAGGTGAAGAGGAGCCCATGAAAAGGTATTTTCAACGATGCTTCTCAGAAGCAGTGGAGTGTGAATTTAAATGTCCCACCTGTGATAACGACCTCTCTGAGTACATGCTATTACGTAAAGTTATGGTGGGCCTGAGTAACCCAGTGTTGAAAAGGGAAATTTTCCAGGGGTACTCTAGTTATAATAGTGTTGAAGTGCTTAGAAATAAATGCATGTTATTTGAGGCAGCAGTGAGAGATGCTGGTGTATTGTGTCGTACGTCTGGCCAGGCAGTGGTGGGAACAGTTGCGGAGGCAGTGGCGGGTGGTGATGACGTCACCGGTGAGCCTGAGGTAGCTGCCGCCCGACCTCCACACCCAAGTCGAGGACACTGTGGTAATTGCGGCGTGTCACATGCACCTGGTAAAAGTAACTGCCCTGCAAGTGGGGCTACATGTCGCAATTGCGGTAAGGTTGGTCACTTCAAAAGGTGTTGTAGGAGTAAGTCAACCCTAAGTGCTCCTGTGGATGTGTCAGGCGCTGTTACAGTGGCAACAGCCCAGCTATCCCGCCACCCCAGGTTACAAGTGTTCGTGTCCCAGGCCGGGGGCAATTCCCCCGCCACCCCTGTGCTGGCTGTAGCCGACACGGGTGCTATGGTGTGTGTGGCAGGCGCATCCCTGCTCCGGGACATCGGTTTGTGTCCGGGGCAACTTCGGGCCCGTAATGGCTTAAGGGACGTGGCGAACAAACAGCTCAAGTGTCTGGGGTCCGCCCCCTGCCGCCTCGGTGTGGACGAGGGGTCCACCGTCCAGGAGGTCTACTTCGTGCAGACAGCCAAGGCCCTCTATCTGTCATTGGAGGCCTGCAAGTGCCTCAACTTGGTGCCTGTCGACTTCCCGCTCCATAGACGTGCTGTGGCTGCCGTGGGCGATGGAGGGGAGCGGCACACTGCCGACGATCTACCTCCGAACCGTTTACCTGAGAGCAGCCGTTTCCCGCCGAGGCCAGTTGAGATACCCTTGCCTCCTTTGGAGGAGAATGTGGCCAGGCTGGAGGCATGGCTACTCACGCACTTTTCGTCTACCGCATTCAACACCAGCAGGTCCCCACTGCCAGTCATGACTGGTCCCCCTCACCGTATCCACCTGACGCCCGGCACGACCCCCTATGCCTGTCACACACCCGCTCCCGTTCCGAAACACTGGGAAGCGGAGGTGAAGGCCCAGTTGGAGGAGGACGTCAGGAGAGGCGTCATCCAGCCAGTGCCTGCTGGTGAGGCTACGGAGTGGTGCGCCAGGATGGTCGTGGTGGCCAAGAAAAACGGTCAGCCCAGGCGCACTGTGGACTTCCAACGCCTCAATGCAAGCTGTCTGAGGGAGACGCACCACACACCTGCACCATTCGACATGGTGTCTGGGGTGCCAGTGCACTCGTTCAAAACCGTCGCCGACGCCTTTTGGGGATTTCATCAAGTGGAGTTGGAGGAGGAGAGTAGACGCCTGACCACATTCATCACGCCGTGGGGACGTTTTCGATACTGCAGGACGCCCATGGGACATTGCTCAGCGTCAGATGCTTACACCAAGAGGTTTGACGACGCTATTCAGGATGTGCCCCGCAAGTACAAGTGCGTGGATGACACTCTCCTCTATGACTCCAGTGTGAAGGGGGCGTTCTGGCACACTTACGATTTTCTGGAGACCTGCGCTCGCACAGGTATCACGCTGAAACCAGAAAAGTTCTTGTTCTGCAGGAGAGAAGCTGAGTTTGTGGGTTTCCTCCTGGGGTGGGACCTGTACCAGCCCACTGCCCAACGTCTGTCAGCCATCAAGGACTTCCCCATGCCGGATCAGCCATCAATCACTGACATCAGGTCCTGGCACGGCCTGGTTAATCAGTTGGCTCCCTTCCTTGCCACTGCACCTGTGATGGAGCCCTTCCGTGAGCTCCTCAAGAAGCCAGTGGGCAAGCAGGTGTATTGGGACGACCAGCTGCGGCTCAAGTTTCGCCAGGCCCAGGACACCATCTGTCAGTTGGCCAGAGACGGCTTGGTGTACTACGACAAATCCAGGCCTACGGCAGCTGTCACTGATTGGAGCAGGGAGGGCATCGGCTTCGTCGTCCTGCAACAATACTGTGCCTGTGCCTCTCCAGAGACGCCCTTCTGCTGCAGAGGAGGGTGGCGGTTGGCTCTGTGTGGTAGCCGACATCTGAGCACGGCCGAGGCCGGTTATGCTGCAGTAGAAGGGGAGGCCCTGGCTGTGGTGTGGTGCCTGCGCAAGGCCAGGCTGTTCCTCCTTGGCTGCCCGAACCTCATTCTGGTGACGGACCACCGCCCCTTAGTTGGCTTGCTAGGGGACAGAGCCTTCACGGATGTGGCGAATCCGCGCCTGTTCAGGCTCAAGGAGAAGACCCTGCAGTACCGATTCACGGTCAAATACTTGCCAGGGAAGCGGAACTGTGCAGCTGACGCCCTATCCCGCTTCCCCTCCCTCAGGGCGGCGCCTGATGCGGAGGACATGGACCAAGAGGAGGACCTGTGCGCTGCAGTGTGTGCAGTCACAATCGCAGCACTGGATCAGGATGGGTGCATCACTATGGACGAAGACACAGTGTGCAAAGCGGCGGCGGACGACCCAGTGTACCAGATTCTAGTGTCGAGGGTGCTGGCGGGCGACTGGCACCCCCACAAGTCACAGGAGGTGGCCTGTCTGCGCCCGTACTTCTCGGTGAGGGACAGGTTGGCTGTGGTCAGGGGTTTGGTCACCTACACCTTTGACCAGGGCTGCGTGCGCCTTGTCATCCCCGACTCCCTCCGCCACCGGGTCGCCGTTAACCTGCATGTGGGGCACCAGGGCCTCGACTCAATGCTCAGGCGGGCCCGGCAGTCTGTCTATTGGCCTGGCATGGAGGGTGACCTGCAGTATCATCGGTCCCGGTGTGCTGCTTGCGAGACCCACGCCCCTTCCCAGCCTCCGGAGTCGTTGGTTCTGACCCCAGCGCCAGACTATCCCTTTCAACAAGTGGTGGCCGATTTGTTCCACCTGCAGGGCCGCACGTACCTAGCATATGCTGACCGACTGACAGGTTGGCTGGAGATCGCCCACTTCCCCAACGAGGCCACCTCTGGAAAAATCATCGCCAGTCTGCGGGCCTACTTCACGAGGTGGGGGGTACCTGAGCAGATCTCCACAGATGGAGGTACCAACCTTGCCAGCCTTGAGATGACAGATTTCCTCAAGTCATGGGGGGTCGAGGTGCGCCTCTCGTCGGCCCACTTCCCCCAGTCCAATGGCAGGGCAGAGGCTGGGGTCAAGGCTGCCAAGAGGCTCCTCAGGGATAATACAGGGCCCGGGGGTAGCCTGGACTGCGATAGGACATCCCAGGCCCTCCTCCAGTACCTGAACACGCCTCTGCGGGGGGTGAACAAGTCGCCCGCCCAACTTGCCACCGGCCGCCAGCTCCATGACGGCGTTCCCGTGGCCAGACAGCACTATAAGGTGGACCAGCACTGGCGGCGGGCACTTCGTATGAGGGAGGTGCGCTTGGCCGAAACACAGGATGGGGTCCTGTCGCGGAGGGAGGTATCCCGCCAGCTGGCTCCCCTAGTCGTGGGCACGCAGGTGTGTGTGCAGGACGCAGCTACGAAGCTCTGGGACAGGACAGGCATAGTGGTGGAAGCCCGCCCTCACAGGCAGTATGCCGTCAGGTTGGGTGGCAGTGGCAGGGTGTCCATCCGAAACAGACGCCACTTGCGAAACGGCTCCACACCTGTGCCTACTACTCCGGTGGTGCACCAAGCTGTGCCTCCTGGGCCCCCTTCTGCTGTGCCCTCCATACCCGCGCCCTCCTCCGCACCCACGGCCCCTCCCCAGTCGAGCGCGGCCAGGCCCAGGAGAGGCCGTAGGCCTCCGGGCTGGTTGACGGACTACGTGGTGTAGTGTATGTGATGTAAAATCAGTTTAGAGGTTTTTTTTGTTTTGTTTTTTGTGTTTGTTTTTTTTTTCCTTTGTTTGACTGGTTTTTCCTGCATTATTGTTGTTTTTATGAATGCATTGTTTTCCTTTTGTTAGTTCAAAGGTGCATTGTCATTTCCTTTTAACTTGGGGGGGAGATGTAAGAGTGTACCATCGTACGATATGTTTTCCCATGTTGAGTGGGGGGGCTTGTCCTTGGCAGCGCCTGATGGCCAGTGCCCAGCTGACGCTGTTATAATAAAGTCTATAGAAAACATGGTCTATGACTCCAACCTCTCACACCATCGATGGAACTATTGCATCTTCAAATATTCCTTGGGATGCCATGGCACCATAAAGAGAATTAACCATGACCTTACATGCATTAGCCTGAGTAGTTAAAGATTTGGATTTCAATATTTTACGTGTTTTAATTAAAATGCGTGAGTTTGTTGATAAACGCTGGCGGCGGGTCTTCTAAAAAGTGGTAGTGCAGGCGGTACTGAAATTGAGTTATTAATTGGCCATGTTTTTCTTGCGACACCTAAACACGACACACACACCGCACCTTACGCTACTTGTTAATCCTTACCAATATAGAGCGCTGCAGCTCCTTCTAAACTTCTCTACATTGTGCGTCATCTATCTTCTGATGGCTAATCGACAATAAAATCCGTAAAAACCAAATAAATAAAAATGTTTCCTTGGGATGAACCGGGGTTTGCATATGAGCGCACGTGATGCTCCACTACACTACCGACCAATTGTAAAGGCTCTCTATCACGAATTTATTCCTTGTAATTATATATATTTGGTCCTGTTGTGCTAGTTGTCTCACGGTCCTCTCCATCCAGCATCCCCACTTCTAAAAATATCTCCATCTCTCACACCTTCTCCACTGCTTCCTCCTCCACACACCTTCCTCACACTGCTTCCTCCCTCACACACCTCCCTCACACACCTTACTCACACTGTCTTCCTCCCTCACACTCCTCCCTCACACACCTCCCTCACACACATCCCTCACACTGCCTTCCTCTGCCACGTGTATCAGCATGTGTTATAATTAAGCAGTGTTCTAATATGATCCATTAATTTCTAACATTTTAACAGATAAACATACAGTCAGCATTGATCCATCAGTAATGTAGCATATTATCAGGTCTACTAACAGCAACTTTATACCATGACTTAATATACAAACAAGCTCGTTTATAATACAAGTGAAGAAACGTCTATACAAATTCACTTAAACAAACACACACACACACACACACTATATAAAAACAAACAAACAAAATTATATTCTCCTACATACGTGAACACTCCAGCCAGTCACACCTGTACACCTCACCTGTTTGTCGTCAGGAGTGAGACTAACCATATGTCTGCCGCTGTGGTCTGCGATAACCAATTGGCGTGTGTCAACCATGACGTCACCGATAGCACGTAACCAACTCCGGGATAATGTGATGAATGTTATCGTGGATGTTGATGTTGCAGGAGTGATTGATTACTGTTGCAGGAAGAGGTGTACAGTGGTTGATTGGTTGATTTGTGTTGCAGGAAGTTTACAGCGCATGTGAGTTATGATGGTTGCTTCAGGTGGGTCATTAGATGCCATAATATACATTGCTTACTAATGCAATAAGTTGGAGAGCGATTCAACACTCATGAACGTATATGTTTTATATGTGGGTAATTATGTGTACAGCTGTGTGCGTATGTATGTATGTAAACAGCTGTGTGCGTATGTATGTATGTATGTATGTATGTATGTATGTATGTATGTATGTATTACTTATGGTTGTAGGGTCTCAGGTCACGTGGTCGACACATAGATCTGAGCTGATATCATTCGCTAACAACTCTCAGGGAATGCCTAATTAGTCCTATCACCTAATTGCTGTTACGTAACTACTATGGCGGTAGTTTGCATAACCTAACAGCCAGGTAGATAAATTGACATGAACGTTTGTTGTTTTGTCGTGCGAGAAATAAAACGTTCGTGAGAAAAACGCCTGAAAGTCATACAAAGGTCTTTCAACCCTTGTTCCTGACGCCTATAAGAGGGATCTGACATACCTATTGTAATAAAGGCGGGAATTATCTTGGGTGCATCAGGGTACCAGGAAGTAATACGCTATCGACAACATAAGATGACTCACCAATGGACGTATGGATGAGTGTGCCATCTGTATATCATCTCTTTTCACACGTATATACACACTTGGTTTATCAAAAGACCTCCTCAGCACCTGCGAATATTTCAATTGCCAGTGTGACGTACATAGGGGTATATGAACTACCTGTCTTTAACACCTGTGGATATTTTCTCATTAAAATTAAGAGGTAAATATAGGTAATTATCTCTCATCAACACCTTCACCTATAATACCGTTAACTATCACCAGGTAAATACAGGTAAGCTCAGTACCTATTTTTCAGTACCTGTCAATATCTTAAAGGTTGAGTTAGGTTCATTTTGTTTTCAAGTGGTGACCGTGTGAGAGAATTGGACCTCTCTCTCTCTCTCTCTCTCTCTCTCTCTCTCTCTCTCTCTCTCTCAACTCACTAACTCATCTTTGTCTCTCTCTCTCTCTCGCTCATACACACACCTGAAGTTTACTGACTCAGAAAGGTGGCAGGATTCTAAACAGGTGTGTCACGACTCTCACGAGGCAGGTGTGTGGACAGGTGTTCTTGCCTCCACCAGTAGCATCAATTTAAATCGTCTCCATATACAGTACTTTCTTCTGTAGCTATATAAAGTAACACACACACACACACACACACACCAACATAGGTTTGTAGTATACATTACAGTGTTTATTTCAATATTTTAATTACTGTACATAATTTCCTTTGGCAATATATATGTAATTCATTTTGTTCATTATAAAGACGGAGAGATGTACCATAGGGGGAATTACTATATAGTGTGTGTGTGTGTGTGTCCAAACTTATATTTCCTCAATTACTCACTATGCAGAGGTCATAAATCAGTCAGAGATAACTACCTGTCGTGACCGTATTTATCCTGTTAACTTGTAGCTCTGATAACAGTTCAGTGGCCCCAAGAAATGGATGAACACATAGTTATATATATATATATGTCATATGTACACAGTAATTAATTATTATGTTGTGTGTGTGTGAGGCTACCAGGTGTCATGGAGAGGGAGAGGTGTTACTGATCAGCCACGTATGTTATGAGAGCGTGATAATGACCAATCTAGTGACACACACACACACACACACACACACACACACACACACACACACACCAAATCTTCAACAATGTACGTACACCCAGTAAGAAAAATACCTTTACAACTGGTTAAAGTATTGGAGGATGAGCGGTATAGCTCTTGTTGTATGGGAAGGGTTGGTATGCCTGATTGAGAAGTACATTTCTTAATGTAATAATATTTGTAACTCCTTCTTGGAATAAAATAATTAAATCGCAATACCTGTATAACCTCTTGGGATATGACATCATAGTTAGTTTTGTTTTACGCACGTTAAGAAACATCCAACTCAGGAAAGACATCGGTATATAAGGGCACAGCAAGCGGAGAGAAGCGTGTCTGTAGCGAAATAGTTGACCTTTGTTATAAACTGTAATTATTTAAATGTAATGTAGACTTAGTTATTTGTCGTTTGTGTTGTTGGTGGTGAATATCAGGTAGTGGGTAATGTAGGCTCAATATATCCTTCCCTCCAGCGGCGTTCGTGTTTAGGGATAGTAACTCACTATCTGCGCTGTGTTATGTTATCTGCGAAACTTGAGCGCTTTGGCATCTTTCATCATATTTTACACACTTTATACCTGTATTGTCTATACACGTACTGAATCAATAAATTTTTTAACGATTTTACTGAATAAACATACATCTATAAGAGCATAGAGCCCAGTAAAGCTACAGTACTCGTTAAATCCATATACTGTAGTCACCCCTTCATCAGTCATAGGTCAATAACCATTTTCTTTTATTAAATTAACAGGGATAACTACTCTAAACGTCCCAGAACCTGATGATGACGATGAATCGATGATGGTGAAGTAAAGTGACAAATTACTGACTTTAACATGGGAGGGGAGAGGAAAAGAGAAGAAAATAATAGAAACGGTAAGTAAATTAATAGGAAGTAATAGCAGGTGAGCTATTGGATTTCACACTTGCATGTACGTCGTTAAAGACCGTCTTTTATACCCACTAGCCACTAGGATTTCGTTAATGATGGGTGGGAAAATATATCAAACATAAGCTTCCTGAACCGAAGTATTAACCTCTCCTTTCATTAAATCGTAGTAGTGGGGTGGGTAGTGAGGGAGGGTGGGTAAGGGAGGTAGGTGGGTAGGTGAGTAAGGGAGAATGACTACAATCTAACAAGACGCTGCAAAAGGGAGAATTTCTCTTCCTTTTTTTTTCTAGTGAACAAACGGGTTAACAGTGGTGATATAAAACGTGTCCTGGGAGGAGGTCTAGGTCTTACCATAAAAAATGAAGTCAGAAATATGGATCCAATAAATTGCATCAAGGAGATTTGTGTCGCCTGTCCACCGTCACTCTCTCCGCCCCTCCGCGCCCGTCACTCTGTCACTCCCACCCACCCACCCACCTTCCCGCCCGTCACTCCGTCCCCCTCCTGCTCCTGTCACTCAGTCCGCCCCATCGCCCGCTAGTCTGTCCACCCACCCGTCCTACCGTCCATAATGTTCTGTCCGCCCTCGATCACCCACCCACCCACACTCACCGCTCCACCCACTTGTGATTGGCTTGATAGGCTACCTTACCCTCCCAACCACCCACCAGCCCACCCACCAGCCCACCCTCCAGCCCAACCACCAAGAAGTTAAATTATACACACAAAAGCCATATCAACAGAAGCATCTAGAGAACAGTAACAACCTTATCTTGACCTTTGACCCCGTGACCTAACAGCAGAAAAGAGTAATTGCTTCTCCTATGCTGAACTATAACCTCAGTAGTAGTAGTAGTAGTTACCAAGAGCCTCAATACTTATACAGCACCGCCTTCAGTAATCTCAACACGCTCAGATAAATTACGTGCCAACACCCCCTCCCCACCCACACCTTATTGTTTTACTTCGTTCTAACTTTATTATCAGCCTTTCTACGTCTTTCCTTACCGCAAACACGTAAACTGGTAAATTTTTTCTTTAATATTTTTCACGTGGAAATTATTATTATTATTATTATTATTATTATTATTATTATTATTATTATTAAAGGGGATTCAATCATTATCGCTAACTTTTTATTCTTCTTTATTCAATCATGTATTTTCAGTATTACGTTCTCATTATCATACTTATTTACTCTTCATATTTATCTTTACTCTTTCATCTATTCTTCACTTCTCATTATTCATCTTTACTATTTTGTTTTCATCTCTCATTCGTAAAGTTCTTGGATTATAAATATTTCCGCAAAAATATATATCACTAATTTCTTCAAGATTAATGATGGAAAAAACTCTTATATTTTGCTTTTAAATTCGTGTCTTTATATCATTCGTGTCTGATTTGTCCATATAATAATAACAATAATAATAATAATAATAATAATAATAATAATAATAACAATAACAATAATGATAATTTTACCTAAATTGAAACGTCCAATTAACTGATCAACTTTCACTAAAAAATAATAATAATTTCAACTTTCTTAACTCTTCTATACTTTCACTTAACTGACACACAATAAGTTATTTTCTCTCAACTTGTCAGGGAAAAAATAACTCGTTGGCAACTGTCTCGGATTATTGTCTTTTCCGAGGCTAAATTAACTCTCTCTCTCTCTCTCTCTCTCTCTCTCTCTCTCTCTCTCTCTCTCTCTCTCTCTCTCTCTCTCTCTCCTTCTACAGTCTTGTCCCTTTACTCTATTTTCTTTTTCTTCTCCCCTTCCCCTACTTCCTTTCTTCCTTCAATCTTTTACCTCTCTCTCCTTCCCCTCCCCCCCCTCTCTTCTCCCTTTCTTTTCTCCTGCTTCTCCTTCGTCCTTGTACTCCTCTCTCCTTCCTTCTCGTTCCTTTTCCTCTACCTCTTCTCTCTCTCTCATTCCATTACCTCCCTCGCTTCTCTTTATCTCATTCCTCCTCTCCCATCAACCAACTCCTCTCCTACATCCCTCCATTTTCTCTTCCTCTCCTTCCTCCTGCACCTCCCTCTCTCTCCTCCTTTCCTCTTCCTAACCTTCCTTCCTTTCCTTTCCTCCCTCTCATTACCGCAGGAGGGAAGCTTCCATCACACACAGAGACGATGATGATGACAACGTTTACTGCCTAGAATTCAACTTTTTACGACAATGAGTTTGGGTGAGTTTCCTTGAGTCCCCCTACCCCACCTCACCCTCTAGTCTCATAGAAAACGGTACCTACCAGAACTATTGAGTGAAGGAACTCCCCCAATCTCCAA